TTATTCAGAGGAATATTTACTGTTGATGAGAAAAGGAAGTTATAGAGCAACCGTGGCAGTGACAAAGTATGTCTTAGGAAGCTGTGTGCTGTTGATGGTGCCACTCTGTCCTGTCACTTCCTCTCCTGGAATGGGGCTTTTCTGGTAACAAACTAAAGGCTTCCATGCAGTGAGTTACTTTGGGGGCCACGTGTTTCTTTCATCTGGAGTACTCTGTGCTGATGATGCCACATGTTGTGAGCACACATGGACTGATAGATTAATTATTAATTGATGGGAGCTTATGAATTTTTCAGTATTTTCTCTTATTGTGCATCAAAAAGTGAAACCACCTTTTATGAGACATAGATCCCTCCTAAAGCCCTACATCAAAGCTGTAAAATCATCACCCGTATTGTGATCTTGTTCAGCCTTCATGTTTGCTTTGAAATCTTAATCAACCATTTGCTCAGCTACAGGGCTCCCAGCATGTCAAATGGTGAGTGCCTTGAAACTTTCTCTTTGAGGATTTTGGCACCTATAAGCATACATGAAACAGGTATTTGGCAGTGTTAATTATTTTGGGAGAACTTCAGTCAGGCTTAGGAAGGACTTGAGTGGGTCATGGCTTTTGTCCCTGTCCTCCATTCAAGGAAAATAATTCAGAAAATGGCATTTTCAGATGGCCCAGGTACATGGTGGTGTGCTGGATGCAGGAATGGGGAGAACTGTCATTAACTGCCAGGGCAGTCTCTGCTCGGTAGCAGCTCAGTGTTTGCATTGCCAGAGCATTTAAAATGGGGTTTCCCTGAGCCCCTTGTCCTCTGCAGGAGGTATGACTCCACCATGGATTCACCACCACACTGTAACCTTTCTCAAAGGGAGGAGAGATGATACTTTCAGACAGGCACCAGTTACACTTCAGGAATGGGAAGAAATCCGTGGGAAGCCGGGAGCAGCGTGAGTAGTGACTGGCAGGGAGGGATTCAGCTATTAAATAGTCCCAATAGTTTCTGGCTGGGGCTGATAGCAGTTATACCAACAGTACCTGTCATGTCCACGGCACGGGGGGTAAATGCCAGGCTGATCTCTGCAGGCTGTGTCTCTGTGTTGCATCCTGCCATCATACACCCTCACAGCTCACCACGCCGTTGTTTCATCAGAAACCCTGGCACTGACAACAGCGTTACCTCCAGCAGGGCTGAGCTCAGTGGGGGCATAGATCCCACCTCGTCTTCCACTCGCCTGTGTCTGTGGGAGTGCTGCCCATCACTGTGCCTGACAGCACAGCCAGAGCCACTCTCCAGTCCTGCCTATGGAGGGTCACTTGTGCCAGCCCAGCATCCCCAGGCTGGGTGGGTTGGCCCCTCCCTGTGGCTGGTGGCACAAGGGCACTGTCCTGCTCGGTCCCCAGGCAGGGGGCTTGGTCTGAGGTGTCAATCTGGGCAAAGCTGCTTTGGGGGTAACGAAGAAGGGGAGAGGAGAGGCAGCCTGCACCCACCCAGCATCACGCTTGGAGCCAGAGCTGTAGTTGTAAACGGTTTGGGTTTAAGCTGTGATACACTGAAGCTGGGGCTTTAAATATATAACGTTTTGACTCCAAAACCATGAGAATTTAAAGTTTCCCTTAATATTGTTTATGTCCTTGAACTGCCTCCAGTGCTTCCCAGGGTGACTGGAGATGAGCCTGGGCTCCTGGCTTCAAAAACTACAAGATTCAGGTTGGGTGATGTGTGGGAGGTCTCTGACACACCAGCCCAATAGTTGAGGCATGGATTTGGTAGGTGACCGTGCGTCTTATTGCAGATCTTATGTCTTAATTAGGTTGATTGGTTTGCCTCTGCTTCTGTTTTCAAAGGAGTACAGACATTATCTTCCCAGGAGCACAGACATTATCTTCCATTCCTCTGGGATAACGTGAGAAGAAGTCTCACAGTGAATTTGTTTCACAGTCTTACTGGTGGTTGGCAGGGGTTAAAGAAGGTTAAAGTTCTGAGTTCCACTCACATCTGATCTACACCATTCTTTAAACTTTTATTCTTTTACTTTAGCAATGGTTGCCCTGCAGAGATTATCTACGTTGGTGTAAGCAGAGAGCTATAGTCATATGCGAGTAGATGTATGAAAACATCTAATTTACCAGCAGGCAGCTGGGTAATGATCAGTTGAGAATTGCAAATTATGTACGTCATATATTTGTGGCATGCTGCTGAAGAAAAGCCCAGTGCAAATGACAAATCATATATGTAGTGAAATTTATAATACTTTTCACATTTAATTGACTGGGGCAACCTTATGATTTATATCTTTGCTTTATTCATAGCACACCCATAACATAGTCATAATGCAGAACGAAACTAATTCAATTTCTCTTTGACTTTGTAAATCATTTATACACTTGGCTGTCAAGTATTTGAATAAAAAGTGGGCATGCATACAGCAGAAAATAAATAGCTGATTCTCTAGTTAAGAAATTGAGTTTTAATGATGTTAGGGTCTGTGTTGCCTTACTTGGATATTTGGTCTTGCTTAGACAGCATGCCTTACGTTTGCTCCTTGCCTTATTTCACAAGCAAAATATATTTTATGGGCACCAGCATTACTCTTTTAATGGTCCTATATCGTGTTATGTCTGTGTGAAATGCACGTGGCTTGCTTTGATGGCAGCAGGAGCCCTTCCCAGGCTCAGGAGCAGTAAGTGGCTGAGCTGTTGGGCTGCTACCCTTAGTCACAAGAGGTCTGCTTGAACATGCCAAGAGGACACGCTGGGACTGCAGGCAGGGGCTGCCTCATTAGTACCCTTCCATAGATAACACTAAGAAAATGTTCTTTTGGCCACAGCAGTGATTGCTTTCCCAAAGACCAGTTTTTGTAACCCAGCTGTCATGCAGAATCTTTGAAAATACAGCCTGGAAAGTTTGTTTTGTTTCCTTTAAATGCCAGGTTACCTGGCTTGGCATCACTGATTAACCTCAGCAAACAGCAGCACATGGTGCTGAGGAGTATCTGACCCACTCGACCACAGCCAAGGAGCTGCCAAGGGTGCTTGTCGCCTCCTAACAAAAGTAATCTTCTGCAGTCAGATCTTTCCTTGACGTGGCTTTTGACACCTGTAGGATCTCTGGAAAACATCTGCAAAATCAAGATAGTGCAGGAAGTGTGAGGCAGTTTTCTGGCTCATTATCATACAGCAGAAACAGCTCTCCTCCACAGCAGCATCCTTGACTTCTAAATTTAGCACGTGAGTTATTTTGGGTAGTGTGTGATTAACCTCAAATACTGTAGCTCTGATGGAATTCAAATAATGCCCCTTCTTTCAGACTTGCAAAGAAATGGAAATCTGGGACTGTACATTTCCTGCCCTTAATGAAGCAGCTCTGAGAGAAGCTTGTACATTGGTGGGGGGTAGTTGTGTGAGGCGTTTGTTCATGGAGATATTAATGGGGGCAGCTGATCCCAAAAGGTGCTGCTGGTCCATGGCTCTGTACTGGGTTTGGGATGAGGAATATAAAGAGGAAGGCAGCAGGTTGTGTGACAAAGCTGGTGTGAATGACACCTGGGTGGCCACAACAGAGATCACTGAAGCCTCAGTGGATTTGGATCACAGCCAGGACACTTTGTAGTTTTGCTGCCTGAATTTAGTCAGTAATGGAGGCTTTCAAAAACTAACCAAAAATACACTTTCCATCAGTGTCAGCTGTAATGAGTTCAGACGTTCTGGGAAACCACAGATGATGACAGTGTGCAAATACACACCTGCACTATGTGCAGGTCTACACGAGCGTGTGCAAGAGAGGGGAGATGCAGGAGGTGCAGGCATATGGCTGAGAAGGTGCTCTGGGGAAAAGTGGCGTATTTGAGCCCAGCCAGGGAGTGCTAAGGGATGAGCTCATCATTCATCAGGCTGAGAGCTAAAACTTTTGTTGTCACTGTAGCTGTAACTTTCCAGACTGCACTGCACCAGCGAGCTTTTCTTCTGTCAAGCAGTTTGTCTTCAGAGGAGGATAAAACCCAGGTAGCCTGGTTTTGTGCCTCCTGGGTGGAGTGGCACTGTGACCACCTCGCTGCTACACATTTCTAGCCTTGTGTCATGGCCAAAGTGACTCCAAAGGAGTCTAGAGAATGGTTAGAATCTGGAAAGCAGCTATTAAGTTTTCACCTCATTACAGCAGCATTCGACTTCTTCAGGGACTAGTTTGATTTTGTGCTTTTTTGCTGTTCAGTAATTTATGTCTGTGTATTCCCACTAAAAATAACAGACCTGCACCGAGTCCTGCAAATGGAGACTGTTCACAGCAGTCACTGTGCCACTTCCACACGTGCTGTAACTGCTTACTTAACTGGCAGAAACAACATTTTACCCTCAGAAGAGATTTCAGGTCCAGGCAGACACTGGAACCACAGAGCTGGGAGCAGCGTGTTGGGAAAAAAACAAACAAACAAAAAAAAACCCCCACAACTCTGCTGAAGGCTGCACGAAAACCGATTGCACGAATTGGGTCATAGCACAGGGATGCAGTGATAATGGGAGAAAGGGGAGAGGAAGTAAGCAAATGCTGTTGCTGTGCATTTCTGCTGAGCTGCCTTCTGTCATCTTCTGGGTGGCAAGCAGGGGTAAACAGTGTTTGGCTTGGTGATCTGGAGCTGCCATGTCTCCTGCCCCAGCAAAAGGGCAGCTGTGGTCTCCCAAGCACCATGAATGTGCCTCTGGAGGGCACCTCACTTTTCAGAAGTTTAAATGGTCACCACTGCTGCCAGACTAGCTCACAGGGCAATGTGGGTGTAAGACCTCAGGGTGAGGATGCTCAGCCCCAGGAGTCAAGGTGCCTGCCTTGGGATAGTGAACATTGTGTGCATCCTTCATGGGGGGCTCTGTCCCAGTGCAGGGCCCGTCCCCACTCTCAATGTGTGATGCCTAATTGATAGTGTAATACTGATGGTCAACCTGAAGCATTGACCTGCTTGTAAAGGTGCTGCATTGGTCAATTTTTCACCTTGATTTACCTTTTGTTTTTATACAGCTGGACAACCCAGATGAGCAAGCAGCACAGATCAGACGTGAATTAGATGGACGTCTTCAAATGGCAGAACAAATTGCCAAGGTAAAAAAAAATGTGTTCTGTATTAATAAGTTCTTCATATAGAATCACATAAGTAATTTGATGCAGGTTTTTAATTTCTCACAGTTTTTTTCTCCCAGTAATCACAAATTAAAAATCAACAGATTTTTAACTACAAACAGTACAAGTATAGATGAAGCTACTGGGGTGTGCATTTCTTGGAATGTCCTGATGAGCTGGGACAGTTTAGGTTCCTGCAAAATCCCTTAAGAATCCTCAGTGGTGGGGAAGATACTGTCCTGAAGTGCTCCAGCTAGATCTGCAGGTCTGTGTCTGATCCCTCTTTGTCAAACTTCTGTGCTAGGCAGTCAGGAGAGTGATGAGGTTTGTGCTATTCGCTGGGCTGCTGGGAGCCACAGTTCCCTGCCTGCAGGTAGATGCTGCCCTGAGTAAAGATACCCAGATGTGTTGTCCTGAACATGCTCACATTTTGCACAGGAGTGGTCAGGCTAGTGTTGCACCATAAGTACAACACTGCCATTTGGAGCAGCAAGCACAGGATGTCCACTTTTCATAACCAAGCACTCAGCTAAACTCCCTAGAGACGGAGACATCTCCCTAGGAGCAAATCACACCCTCACACAGTGGCCTCTGGTGGACCATAGATGGAGAGAAATTTTGGATCCTGTTGACATCAGTATGGCTGAGATTTTATCCTTGCCTCTAATCAGATGCTCTGAGTCACAGATAAAGCCCTAATGGGGCTGAAGTCATTAGGAATGAGCTATCTGGATGTTCTTGATAATCAAGAAACCATTACTAGAAGGAAAAGAAAATGGTCTAATGAGAGAGATGTTGCTTAGTCTAGGGACCTGCCATTCAGCAGCAGTCCTCCCAGCACTGAGCTATGCCCAGACTGTTTTTTTCTGTGAGAAAGGTGACATCAGAGCTGTTTGAAACCACGCTGATAGCCCTGGCTGTGGCAGGTAGAGCACATCCATCCATGGCTGGCTGTTGGCCGGGATGCCCATGGTGCTTGTGCAGTTACTCCCCACTAACACTTCTCTTATACAGCTACAGTCGTCTTGTCTGCGGGGAGGCAGGTTCTGGTTTTCCCCACTGCACTGACAAAAATGGTAAGGTAGCCAAGGGCCACGTGGCCAAATGATGGTGCAGCAAAGCAGCAGACTGCAGCTCCTTGGTTCAGCAGTTGGCCCTTTGTCATTTTATTGCCAAGAAAACCTACAGTATTTGTTATTTGTGGCAAAATGTAAACCCCTGTGTGGAGTGCTGCTGCTCTCGTTTGGAGATGGGTACCCAGGCACTGGGTGCCAGAATGAGATTGCCTGATTTTGTTGTTCCATTTTCTCTTTATGGCATGTGAGACAACAGTGTGCATAGTTCAGTAGCAGCCAGCAGTGGCTCCAGCTTCATGAATAATTTTTTACAAACAAGAATTTGCCATTTCCATTCCCCCCCAAGGATGCTGAAAACAAACCATGCCACTGCTGGCCCTGGGAGAGACAGTCAGGGGAAAGTCCTCAGCACAACCTGACATTTCCCTGCAGAGAATTCAACCTTCAAAATAAAGCTGTGCAGCTCGGGGGGTGGTTTAGAGGAAAAGTGACTTACCTGTGATCCACTTGGCAGGTATTGATATTTAATCTCCTTCACGTTCTTCAGGTGTTCTCTCCAGAATGTCAGATCCTGCCAGCACCTGCCTACAAGAAACCTTATTTGTTCAGACCTATGAATACCATCTTTTGAAGGCATACAAATGACCTTTTGAATCCTTCTCTGTATCCTCCTTTCTGGGCAAGGCTGCTTTCCCTCTAGCATGGGGAAGGCTCACAATTCAGCTCAGTGAAAGGATAGGGTTTCCAATTTTATCTCCAGTTTGCAGCTTTTAATACAGATTTGCTGCACAGGGGGACTTAGAGTGCTTGTGAAACCAGCTCTGAGGCAAATTAATGCCTTAATGCCTCATTAATAAATTAAGAAATTCACACTAGGATATTTGTACTTTGGAGGCAACAAAGGCCAAGGAGTCTAATGGCACCTGGGATTGTGGTGCTGCAGAACTGGTGGCTCCACAAGCCTTGTTTGACTTGTTGTGTGACCTTGAACAAGTCACTGTGCACGCCAGCCCTCCTGCATCTGGATACCAGGGCACAGCTCTGGGTCTTTTTACCTCCTCATGTGCCCAGGAGAGTGAAGCTCAGCACAGCCACAGTGCAGCCCTAGGCGGGGTCCCCCTCTGAGCCTGACTCCATCGAAGCCCATAAGCCCAGCCTTGGAGCCAGCCAGCTTGAAGGTCGTGCTGGAAGTCAGGCAGCTGTTTTAAAGCTGCATCTGGACAGGCTTTTCACCCTGTGTGTTGTAGTTTTCCAGCAGCTAAATGAGAGCAGCATTACAGCTGAGAGTTCAGCAATGCCGAGGCAGGGGAGTGTTTGTCTCTGCAGTAGCAAGTGCTCTGCTGTCCTGTGGTCCCTTTCCCCCCACCCAGTCACCTGGCCTCAAGGGCAAGGAGGAGCACATGTAGGGGCAACTAAATGCAACCTTGTGATAACACCAGAGCAATATATCCATCTGGGGCTGGACCCTCTCTGCTCCAGCCTACTGGACTGGTCATTCCTTGCAGTCTCTTAACTGCTTCTCTCCACACTTGTCCCCATTTCTGGAGCTCTCCCTGCTCCAAGTACATGTGGAGGTGACTAACAAACACCCTTTCCTGCTGTGTTCTGCATCTCTTGATGGTGTTTTCCTCCAGACTTCCTCCAGCTCACTCTGCAGTCTGTTGGGTAACTCGGGGCCACACCTGCATCTTTGCATTTCCATCATCGGACCCAGTCCCAGTTAAATTATTGTCACTTCAGCCTACCAGTTTTAGCCCTAGTATGAGAAGTTGCTGGTGGCACACAATGAGTTTCTCAATCCTTGCACTTCTGAAGAGGTTTCTAGGGGCAGTGCCAAAATTGCAGTCCCTGGAGAGATGGATAGCAGCAGGGTAAAAAGCAATAATGTCTGAACATCATTGTTTCAGCAGTAGGTCTCAAAATCTGCAAAACAGTTGTGTTTTTCTTTTTTCTAGGGGTGGCTAGCAACTTATGTAACGCATAGACAATAAACCAGACTGATTAGGTAGCTTGTCTTATGCCAGGTCTAATTTACATGAGGGAATTGCTTCCCAAGATTGAGACTGGGAACAGAAGACTATATTTTAACTGCTTGGTTAAGCAGCGAGTGCTGCTGTGACCTGTGCTTGTAATGGGTAAACTACTGAGGGCTGATGGAAAAACCAGTGCAGTGGAGTACTTTTTCAGCAGTCTGATGACAGTCTTCTAGAAGAAACATGACCTTGTTTTCTTTTCTAGCATGCATTTTACAAACTGCTTTTTACCATATTATGAATTGCTGATAAGATACTTTGCACATCAGCCTCAAGTTCCCTGGCTGCAGGTGCTGCCTCATGGTCTCACACCTTGCACAGTCTCTTGTAGCCCACTGAGAGATGCTCAAACCCTGAGCAGATCTGGGACGTGGGTAGATGTATCAGAAGATGTAGGGCTCAGACCAGTGATCCTAACAGAGCTGGAGCACAGGCAGCAGATCAGCTGGGGAATTTTTTTCTTGCTTTCACTTGTGACCTTTGGTTTTAATGTTTAAATTCCTGTTTACAACAAGCAGCACTTGGAGGGTCTCACGGTGAAAGGTTGTCTTGTTGGAGGGAGACATGGGGCCTGGCAAATAGTGGAAAGGGTGCGTTACCCCTTTTTCCAGTTGGGTTTTCACATCCCTGCCCACACATTGCTGGTTTTCCCCCCTTGGGCTCCTTTCACACCTAGAAAACTAACGGAGCTCAGAAGTGTTTTAAAAAGAGTTGGCACATTTGGGAGACTGGAAAACAAATCCTTAACAGTCAGCATCCTTTGAAGCATTAGTGAGTTGCTGTCAGTCAAAAAGTTCAGCTGAGATCTGGCCTGGAGCATTTGTAGTGAATGCATGTATATGAACGGTGACTGTTTTCAGACAGAAAAATCCCTTCAATGCAAGTGCATGGAAGAAACAGTAAAGTTGGATAAGTACCAAGTAGTGATTCTATGGGGAGGTAACAATAATGTTTCTGCATTACACAGGGGAAGCTGTAATTTGTCATCTGGTTTGTGGGAGTTCCCTGCTCACAAACCTCTCTGCTGCAGGTGCTCCTGGGGGTCCTCCAGTGCAACAAGTGGTTGCTGGTTGTCACAGTTGTTCATTCTGTTGGTTTTGTTTCCAAATCCAAGGAGCGCAAGTTTCCGAAGTTTGTGTCCAAAGAAATGGAGAACATGTACATTGAGGAGCTGAAGTCGTCTGTCAATCTCCTGATGGCAAACTTGGAGAGCATGCCTGTGTCTAAAGGAGGCTCTGAGTTCAAGCTGCAGAAGCTGAAACGTAGTCACAACACCTCAATAATTGACATGGGAGAAGAAAACGAGAACCAGCTTTCCAAGTCAGACGTCGTGTTGTCGTTCTCCCTGGAGGTAAGCTCCACACACACCACAGCGTGCTGACTCCATGGGAAGGAGAAGCACAGCAGCCAGCTTCTGCTCAGACCAAACTTGAGATAGATGTGGAGAGGTCAGTAGAGACCAATTCCTGATCTCCATGAGGAATGGCTCCTCTCTGAGTTACCAGGGGCTTTGCCTGTGGTCAGACTGCCCTTTCTAGCGTCTCACCATCTTGTTGGAACAAATTGTGTGAGATAAACCGTCTGGCATTTCCTGCTGGTGTATATCAAACAGTCAGAAATCTGCCTCATTAACTGACCTTTTCATGCAGCTTGTTACTGAGTGTACCCTAATAACCCTGAGCCTGTGCTGTCCCCAAAACCAGTGCAACAGTGCAGCATCATAAACGTCAGTGTGTTTCATTATTGCCAGTTAGGTGTTGCAGTGTATTCCCCTGCAAGCCTTGCTTCCTCTTCGGAGAACTGTTTCACATTGCTGGGGTTTGAATGCACCCAACAGACTGGCTTGCAGCTTGCGTGGAAGTACTGTGCCATGCTGGCTTGCTGTTTGCTTTGTGATGAGCCCTCTGTCGAGCAGTTCCTGCACAGCCCAGGGGAAGGCAGGGTGCTGCAGGGACCCGCCGGTGCCTCCTCCACGGGCTGGCTCAGTCCTGGAGGCAGCCTTGCTGCAGTAGCTGTTTGCAGCCAACTTAATTATTCTGTGCAAACATATTTGAGGTCTAGGCAAGACATTTACTCCAAGGAGTCATCAGCACACTCGTACAGCATTGTTGTTGTCTGTCAGTGAGTGGGTTTGTGTTACATTGTCAAAACAACTACCAGGATGGGGTCAAAAATGTAGGATGCAGGCAAAAAAAATAAATCTATTTTTATGTAGTTTCCTGTTTATTTCCCTTCCTAAAGCGTCTCTTGTTTATATACACCATGCCAATGTAAAACTTAACAATGCTGGTTGTCCAGTCTCAGAGTTGAACTCATTAGATGTCTGAAATCATCTTAATAATACTCAGTTCAGTCTTATTTAAAAACAGGCGTATGAAAACTCAGAGATGGTGCCTTCAACAGCAGCATCAAATAAAGCCTGACTTCTGAGCATTCCCATACAGAGGAGCAGAGAACTATCACACAGCAGTAGACCTCTCTGTTGCAGAAGCCTGTGCAGCATGTATAGCTGTGCATAAAGGGCTCACCCTTGCAGCAGGATGTGTCAAACGCTTTGCTCCAGCTGAACCCTGTCTGGTGGGAAGCAGAAGCTCAGTGAAGCACAGACTTCAGGAGCTGGCAGGTCTATGCACGAAGCTCTTGCTGCAAGAGAGCTTTTACCAAAAATGTGCACTCATCAGAGGGGTTATGGAGCTCTCCGTACCAGGAAGGGGATCCTCAGTGCAAGGAATCAGAAGAGGTGAGGAGAGGAATTTTAAAGCCCTATGTATATAGAATTCCAGAAACTTCCAGAGTGTTTCTTGTAGAAACATTTAAGGTATATGGTTAGCAGGATTAATCACTTTTTTTTAAAAAAAAAAAAAAAAAAGGAATTATCTGCCAGGAACTTAGATGGTGATTTCTTAGTAAGAAAGATTTCTTATAAGACTTTTTGTATGGAAAAGTTTTTATCAGGGCTTGTAGTGACAAGACAAGAGGCAATGGTTTTAAACTGAAAGAGGGTAGATTTAGGTAGAATAGAAGGAAGAAAATGTTTACGATGAAAGCAGTGAGACCCTGGAACAGGTTGCCCAGAGAAGCTGTGGATGCCTCATCCCTGAAATTGTTCATGGACAAGTTGGATGAGGCTCTGAGCAATCTGATCTAGCAAAAGATGTCTCTTCAACAAGCCCATGTGCAGTCGGAAGACAACCTCCCAGTCTCCATACAGACCTCGCTGGCTGCTGCAGTCCCCTCTCAGCCTGGACAGTGCCACCATCCCTACCCAGCTGCCACCACAATCATCCAGCAGCACCCGGAGGACCCCAGCGGACCCGATGGATTCAGCAGCCAGAGTGAGGTCTGGAGGAGGCTGCTTCTCTTACACTCCTCTTTTTTTTCTCCCTGCAGGTTGTTATCATGGAGGTGCAGGGTCTGAAGTCGCTGGCCCCCAACCGCATTGTGTACTGCACCATGGAAGTTGAAGGTGGGGAGAAACTGCAGACTGACCAGGCTGAAGCCTCAAAGCCGACGTAAGTCTCGCTTTCCCTCTTGCTCTCCCTACCATGCTCTCCTCTGTTCATCTCAGCTCTGCACAGCAAATATCTCCGATTCCTGCATGGTGAGGCCAGAGGGGACTCTGAGAAGCAGAGGAGAAACGTGGCCTTCCATGTATGCAGAGTATTGTCCTGTGACTAAGAATGGCACCTAAGCCCTGATTGAGGGGAAAAAAAGGTGTTAATGACAAGCTTATGTCCCTTGTAGCCAGAGAGACATAAATTTGTGCCTGCACGTAAGTACTTTGCTAAATAGGGATGGAGTTAAGCATGTGCTTAGATAAATACATGTCTGAGTATCCATCTGAACTAGTGCCATCAGGTGCAGGTATATAATCTCATACTCGCTGCCAGGGGTTGGGTGGTCCTACGAGAAAGGAAAACAGCTGATGGGGATGTGCTCCAGCAGCCACAGCCAGAGGTGGGAGAGAAGAGATAGGGAAGTGTCAAGTCACTCAGTTAAAGCTTTATCTGAGGCCACTCTGTCTCATTCTGGTCCCCAGGTTCCCAGCTTTGGCCCCATACTCAGCTTTTTTGTCTTACCCAGATGTAAGCCTGTAGTAGTGATTGATCTTTATTAATATGAAAGGAGAAAATGATGAATGGATTATTTCCTTTCCCATTTGTGGGATTAGTTAATTTGAAACACTATCTGTATGGATTTGTTTTCCTCGGGTTTGCTGCAGAGATTTCACACTTAAATTCTTGATGCGCATCCTCACAGTGGAGAATTGCCAAGGTGATTCGAAGCCTTCTCCAGCTGTGGGGAGCAGTGCAGGAGGGGCTGCTGTTGGGATGTTCCCTCCAAGTGGTGAGTCCTGAGCAGTGTTTCATCAGGAGCTTCCCAAACTTGTGGAAGGAAAGCCAGAAAACACCCAGCTGTGTTACATGCGAGTGCACGAGCTCTGCAGGCAAACAGGTCAAGCCCAGCTGATGCAGACAGGAGGAGAGCAGAGCCAAAATCAGGCTGCCTTCCTTCAGTGGTTGTCCTCTCACAGAGGCACAGAAACTGCTGATGCTTTGTGCCCTGAGCTGTACTGGAGGAGCTGGGATCTGCAGTAAGCAATTTAAAAACAATATTCCCAATCAGGGGAAGTGCTGCAGCCTGGCTCACTTTTCAAAACGCTTTGATATCTGTTTCAGAGAAGGAAGTGGGAGAGCTGTGCTTGGAAGAAAATTTCCATAAGAACCTGCAGTTGTCACTATTTTAGGTATTTATTGCTTCAGTAGAGAAAGCTTGGCTCTATTTAGGGGAAATTACTACTACCCATACTGAGAAGCACACTTCTGCTGGGTTTCTGGTGCTTGTTTAGCTTGGTCTGTTCATCCCACTTTTGCTCAAAGGCTCTGTCCGTCCTTATACAACCCTTCCTGCTGTCGGCCTTAGGACCATTTATACAAGTGTTGTTTTGAAAATAAGGGCTGCAGGAGTGAGCTTTTTAATTGAATGGGTCTTTTTATCATAATGAAATGTACAGTGTCTGGGCATGAAGCCATCAGCCCTCAGGAAGATGCAGCCAGTGCTGAATGCTGCGGCGTGATACGAGTTATGCAAGTCCATCACACTCATCCTCTCTCTGCACTGTCTTCCTGTAGAGGTGTAAGTCAGCCTTGAAATCTCCTGGGTTCCTCCAGTACTTGGGCTAATACCTATGGAAATGCCTTAGGATGGGAGTGGGTTTGACAGTTGCATTCCTTGAGGGTCCTGGGACTTTTTACTTCCAAAACCAAAGACCACTGTTCTGATTTTGCTGGGACAGAATCATAGGCCAGCCATGGTCTGCAGGCCATTGACAGTTTGAAGTCAGCCAGGGCAGCTGACCCAAGTTGGCTACAGATATGTCCTAGACCATGAATGCCATGCTCAGTATAAAGGGGGATGTTTGCTGAAGATGGGGAGTGTTCATGCTGGGCTTTGGCTCCTGCTCAGGCTCCTCCTGCTCCTGAGGACTGCTTTCCCATTTATTGTGACCATGGTACATTCACTGGGCTGATTTTGACTTTATATTGGTAGGCCAGCCATGGTCTGCAGGCCATTGACAGTTTGAAGTCAGCCAGGGCAGCTGACCCAAGTTGGCTACAGATATGTCCTAGACCATGAATGCCATGCTCAGTATAAAGGGGGATGTTTGCTGAAGATGGGGAGTGTTCATGCTGGGCTTTGGCTCCTGCTCAGGCTCCTCCTGCTCCTGAGGACTGCTTTCCCATTTATTGTGACCATGGTACATTCACTGGGCTGATTTTGACTTTATATTGGCATGGGTATTAGTTTGGCTGTTTCATTAAATCTGTTTCTGTTTCAACCTGAGGGTATTCTCTCCTTTTCATTATTCCCATTCTCTGCTGGAGAGCGGCTCATCAGTTCTTAGAGCAACTGCTATAGTTGAGTGCCAGGTATGAGTTACACATAGACAACTACCCAACCTGGGGCTCTAGAGTAACCTTCTACAGAAACCAGAGGCCATCACAGAAAGCTTCAAACTGCTTCTTTCACCTTGCTTCCCCTCTGAGACACAACAGCCTGGACTTAGAAAACCAAAGCCCTGTGGAAGCAATTTACTGCACTTAGATTCTCCTTTTCAGAAGAGAAGGAAAGCAAGAATGAACCAGATGTGACATGTTTGTCATGTTGCTTAATACAAGACTTGAAGGCCCTCAGGTACTCTGGTGATGAAGGCAGTGACAGAAACAGCTCAGAGAAGTCTTTGGTGCATTTTCAAGCTCTGCTGCCGTGCAGACAAAAGATTTATGGTCAGCCAAAACAGCCTTATCAAGTGTCTCTTGAGATGCCAACATCATTCTCACCGAGGTCATTCACACCATGTTGGCTTGAGTAGTTTTCATCCTAAGCAAAACACTCACTGGTGAAGGAACTAGCTCAGCAAAAGCACCCTGCACTGCTCCCCATGGGAGCTTGCTCCCCGGGCATCCCAGGCTCTGAGTGCTTTGGCAGGGGATGCTGCCTGGCCTGGGGGTGAGGAGCACGCTGCGGGGATTTTGAGCCTTAGCGCTGTGAAAGTGTAAATACTGAAGCAGTTTATCCCTGTACATCCCACAACTTTTCCATCTTAGAGGTTCACTAAATAGAAATGTAGGTTAAGTGCCTGTACCCAGAAGATGCAGTGAATACAGTTCTGGAACCAGGCAGTATTTTCTGAGATTAAACTGTAAGTCTTAAAACTGTTTGAAATTCAGTTTTGCCGTTGTCTGGAGGCTTTACAGGCTATGAAAGACTAAATTTCTCATAAACACTGGGGGGAAAAAAATTCCATTTGAACAGTAGGATTCTCTGGAAGGCTTCAGTTCTTTACAACAGCCCTGTGTCCCAGGGTAGAAAGTGTCATGAGGCCACACAACTTTGTTGGACATCTTTTTACCTAAGAATGACTCAAGGACTTGTTCACTGTATTCTCACATACCCTTGAAATGCCAGCCCTCAGCTAAAACACCCAGGCCACAGCACACCAGTGGCAGTGCCTGCTCTGCAGCTCAGTGCAGTGACAGGGCTGCTCACCTGGGCTCTCACACCTAATGGTAAAAGGCAGTTTTCCAGCCAGGAAAGGATTTCCAGCAGCACTGGTGTGAGTCCGTGAGAGGTTCACCTTTCATCTTCCCTTAGGCAAAACCAGTGGGTTTTGAGAATAGGATGTTTGAAAGCATCTTAGTGACTTTGGAACTTGAATCCTGTTTGTAGATCGTGAAAGAGGCAGGGTAGCAGCAGGGGTAATGGCCATGTGTACCAAGTGATCAGCTGAGTCGTGTGCAAGGAGTGTGGCTCTTGGGACTGCACTGGATGCTGGTCTCCTGTTTCTTCTCAGGCTCCATGTTGGATGTCTGACATTTTAAGCCCAATCCTTTCATGTGAGGATTATCTGCCTCAGCGTGGGTACAGGGGATGGCACAGTTTTAGAAAAAGCCACACCTGAAATAGCAAGGGTTATTTCAGATCAGTCTCGCAGTGTATTATTAGTAGTGCTTTTAATAAGTTGTGTAAGAAAAAGCCTTTGTATTATGCTGTAACCTGCAGATGCCTCTGCAAAATATCCCAAATTCCAGTGTGAGCAGGATTTTACTGCTTTTTGTGCTGGAACTGTATTCTTGCAGATCACTGAGGGGTTTATACCCCCTCCCCTTCCCTGCATGTTGACCTGATGTCTGCGCTCGGCAAAGCGTGGTAGGTGAGGTGGCTCTGCACATCTCCAGCACTGCCCTTCCAGGAGCTCTATCAGTAATGCTGCTCTTTGCACAGCCTGAGAACAGGGCTGCCAAGGGGTCTGGGAGCAGCACAAAAGGTCCAGCCACAACCCCCCTGTCCTATGGCCTCTAAAGGGACTGCAGGATATATTTATAGAGTGACCCATGTTTCTAGCAGTGCTCTTGGGCTGTACCAGTGATTCATCTTCACATCATATCGCCTTTTTCTGACGCAAGCAGAACAAAAGAAAACAGAGACCCAAACAACAACAACAAGGTCCTACATGCCTTGTGAATAAGTGCTATATATTCACTTGGACATACTTCAGCATACAGATAAGCCTTATTCTCTTCTGGCTCACAGCAGTGAAAATCAGGTGTACCTGCACTGAGCTCAGCTGAACCATTTGGGTTAAAAGCAGTGAATAACTGGCAGGGGAAGAATGTGGCCAACCTGTCTGGGCATTTTGGCATGCCCAGGAAGGAATGGAGGCATGGGCTACTCTGACTCTGGAAGTGGCTTCATTTTGAGGTTATCTATCCTCCTTTCAGACCAGCCTCTTCAGTCCTAGTGCGAGGGTTGTGCTGTAGTTCAGAGTGTGAGAAGTGAGGATAGAGCTTGTTATTTTTGAAGAAAAGGAGACTGTTGTCTAGGTTTTTTTCCCATGCAGTTTTCTAGAACATGTCCTGTAGGGCAGTGCTGGAGAGAACACACTCAACAGGGCTCGTCTGACTCCATGTCACTTTTCATGTTGTTCGTTGTGACCAAGAGCTTGGGCCTC